GGGGGGGGAGTGGCTCTGCAGTGTCCCGGGCCTTGTTGCTATGGTCATTTGCAGGCTGAGCCCTGCTGTCCTCTGCGGAGGGCCGAGCCAGCTATAGCGGGGTCCACAGAGAGACAGGGTGTGAGCTGTTCTCTTCTGCCAGTGCCAGACTGTGCCGTGTGTGCGTGGAAGCTTGCACATGTGTGCAGTGTGCAACGGTACAGGGCAAGCAACTGCTGCACTTCCACTTTCCCACGAGTGGGGAGAAGAAAACCATCAGCTTTTCTTGCGGAAACAAATAGAGCTCAAGTCTCTGCCCCTCGGAGGAGGCTGGTCAGTGCTAGTACGGTGCCAAGGACTGGACGTGGTGGAGGCCTTGGCACACGCCGCCTCGCTGCTGAGGGGACTGCTGCTGGTGGGAGAGCATGGTCTGGGCTTGGCAGGGCTCACTCGGCGTCCGGCCTCACACCGCTACACTCACTTGCCCGCTGCAGAGTGAGAGGCACGTACCTCCTGCCCCCTCTGTGCCAACCTGTGCGTTGGCGGCTCAGCCCCGCCGGGTGTCTGTTGTGGGCTTAGCTCTCTAATGCAGGACTGCTAGAGAAAGACAGCTCCAAGAGCCACATGCTTTTCAGACCACCACTGGGTGTAATCTGTGAAGCTAGTGGACAAATGGCAGCAGCTGTGGAATGGCCTTTCTCGGGGGTTGAAAACCCTCACTGCTTCCTCAGTCCTTTCGAGGCTCGAGCCAAGCCAAGCAGGGAGGGTTGCCTCCCCCATGCTTCTGGCGTCCCCACACTTCCACAGCGTTGGTTCCTCCTGGAGTTCTTCGAGTCTCTTACCCACAACTGTAGGGTCAGCTGTCGGGATCACTTTGAAGGATTGTCGGTACGCGGCGAGAGCTACCCCAGTGTTTCTGGCGAGAGCTACCCCAGTGTTTCTGAGTCAGAATAAGAGCCAGGACCCTCAGACCTGTGGGAACCCCTCGTCCCACATAGCGTCTCACACCCCAGGTGTCATCACCAGCCCCTGGTGGAAGGGCGACCTGGACACAGAGTCAGGGAACTGCCGGCAAGACCTTGGCGTAGCCCCTGGCGCCCCAGGCGAGGCGCGAGCTGGATGGCTCCTGTGCAAGGCCCCCTGTTAGTTCCTCAACACTGCCAGGAAGATGATCGAGCTGGTTAGGTTTTTTTTTTATTATTAGCATTTTTCAGAAGAATTCCTCCCAGACTAGACACATGTTCTGACTCCCTGTCCTGACCGAGCTGCTCACGAGCTGGCTGCAACTGGTACACCCTGTGCCCAGCCCCGCAGGGGGGTCACACGGCCCGCTGCACTACTCCCTGTCGAACGCAGCAGAGGGGATGGGCTGAGGAGGTGCGGCACAGCCGGGCCAGCGAAGGAGGAAGGTCACCCATGAGTGCTGCTGCAACTGTGCGTGTTGCTGCCCCGTGGAGAGCGGGCCTTTCTGTGAGAGCTCGGTGTCCAGGCCTCACCATGGTGTTCACCGAGGGTGAACACCGGGTGGCCTCTCTGCATGGCGCTGTCCCTCTTGAACTCTTCGTCTGTGATCCAAGTCACTGGGTTGTAGGCCCTTACTTTTTCGCATTTGCCTCCATCCATCTTCTGGAACTGTCAAAGAGCCCAGGTCCTCCCGCAGGGTGTCTGTCCTGCTGCTGTTCTCCCTGCGCTAATGCCTGCGTGTGGACACGGCGGGTCCCGTCACCCAGACTCCTGCTCGCGGGCACTGTGTGGGCATGGTTTTGTGCTGCACCTTGCATTCATTAAGACCTCTCGAAGATGTTGTTTCCTGCCTCCTTCATGGATTTATTTCTCTCCTCTCCTCTCCCTTCACTCTGGTTGCTTTATAATCTCTGACCGGTAGAAGTACATAAAGATGTACACAGGCGGAGTGAGCTCGCTGGCTGAGCAGATAGCCAGTCAGCTCCAGAGGAGAGAGCAGCCCAGAGTCCTCCTAGCCAAGAAGGAACTGGTAAGAGCCCGAGGAGGGTGCTGCTCGTCTAGCCCTGACAGCTGTGGCTGCGTGCCTGCTCAGCCGGGCAATCCCACAGGCCGCCCGGCCCTTCTGCAGGGCGTCCGACTTTGATAACTGCATTTCTAGCCTGCGGTCGATACTTTTTAGAACATTGTGTGAGAAGGCCAGGGGTCTGTGTAGACATGTGGAAGCACACCGACACTGACACTGAAATGCTCACACACGTGTATCTGCTCTCCGAGTTCTAAAACCCCATAGAACGTTCTCTCTGGATAGCGCTTCACCAGAGCGGACGTGTGGGCTCCCTTGGCTGTTGATCGGCACGCGGTGCTGAGGTCCCTAGGTCCGTCTGCTCTGGCACTGCCGTGGGAATGCCGTAGCTCCCAGGAGAGCCATTCAGGGGCGCAGTCCGCCCCACACAGCCCGGGCAGGGTTCCCTTCACTTAGGGAGCAGGTCGTGCATCTCCAGGGGGCGCCCGAGAGGCGTTGCTGAGGCATCCCCCCTTTCTGCCCGCCCTCTCCTCCCCCGCTGCAGGGCTCCATGAAGAAGGAGTTCCCGCAGAACGTGGGTGGCAGCGACACGTGCTACTTCTGCCAGAAGCGGGTCTATGTGATGGAGCGGCTGAGCGCCGAGGGCAAGTTCTTCCACCGCAGCTGCTTCAAGTGCGAGCACTGCGGCACCACGCTGCGCCTGTCGGCCTACGCCTACGACCTGG